AAAAAGACTTCAGGCTGTAATTGGTGCCAAAGGTGGTTCAATAAAACTTTGGGCAAAGGTTTGCAAGAATTTCAAGCAAACTTTTTTCACTGTCATTATGGGATATTGTGTAGAAGTTTGAGGTGAAAAATGAACTGAATCCATTTTGGAATAAGGACGTTACATGACAAATGTGGAACAAGTGATGCAAATACTTTTCAGATGCACTAAAAGTATCAGTAAGAAGCATTATTAACGGTATGCTCATTGGCCAGCAAATTGTTATTGACAAGTTGGTAGCCAATGAGCATGTGGTCACACAGTCAATAATGAATAATTGACCTCTCTTTCTCACATTTGGTTTTAAAGTGTCAAGATGGAGACTGCAAAAATGTTCCATGCCTAACTAAACTATTTTTGACAACCTAGTAAGACCCAGCTGAAGAGAACGGTCCAGAACAGAGTCTGATGGCGTGGTGTTGGCCCTATGCTCCACCGGGAGTCTACAGGCTTGATGATGATGAGTATGACCCATACAGACTCTGTAGTGATTTGATAATTTTCTAATACTAACGAGAACAAAATCAACCATTTTTGTTCTGAGCAAATAGAAAATTCAGCAGTAACAGATGATGTGCTGGTTGCATTCAGCCCCTTTCGCATTCAGTTTGGTGGGTGTTCACTGCACCAAACTACTTCTGAGGCAACACAAATACAAGAGTTTGTACAAATGCTGCAAACTTTGCAGGAGCTTCACTCAATGTGATTGAGACTGTTGATGCAACTGAAAATTAACACTTTGAGTTCTGCCTCAAACTTACCACATGTTTCTACAATGACCAAATACTTAATCTATAAATATGTATGAGTGCTCTGTTAGGACAAACTTTAATAAATAAACAAACATCAGGTTAGAAACTGACTGCTTTTAACTTCTTCCACTTCTGTTTAACAGATAGTTTAAAATAACTGCAAATACTTTTCTCTGGTAAACCCCCTCAGTCAGCTCCCATCCACCCACACTGAATTAATCATAAGAATCATTAATTAAAAAGCATATTGACTATTCATAGCTTCTGCCAATTGATCGATCCATTAAGACAAACTTACTTGAGTGTCTCAGCCAGGAAGAAGCTCTGCTGCACGTCGTCATAGGTTGGATTGGATGAGTAGACGTCCTTCACCCCCGAGAAACCTCCACTCACCCTGCAGTACTTGTCAATGGCCTGGAGAAGACGGGGAGACGGGGGGAGGATGAGAGGTAGAAGGGGGAACAGAAGAGGAATGAGAAAAAGATGGAAGGCAAGTTGTAGGATGACGTGTAGAGCAGAAACAAGGAAGTTGAGAAGACAGAAAACAAATGAAGGCAGAACAAAGAGAAAAAAAAGTGAACAGAAATGAGAAAATGGTAGAGGGAAGGTTTACATGACAGAAAAGCAAAATGAGGAGAAAGCATTAGAGTGGAGGAAAGGTGGGGGGAGGGGAGTACAATTTTAATATGCTTATAAAAAGCATGGTGTAATTAATTTCTTTGCGTGTGACAGATTAGAGAGTGTCCTGCGGTGACATACAGGAAGCAGCTGCTGCACAAAATGTGAGGAAAAAACAGATTACCACAACTGCTGCCTTTCTGTTCTTTATACTTCATTCGACTTTTGTGTTTTGTTTTTACAAAGCAGTTTCATAATGAAGGTACACACTCATTTGGCTCCCGTTATCCTTCACCCGTGGGAGCTGGAGAGCAATGACAAAGTAAACGCTTTCTTAAGGTGAAGTAAAGCCCGTGGCCATCCCACAGGGGAATTTCAATCTTCTAATCAGGCTCTTTTCACCTTCATCTGCACATTTCTACTGAAGGCAGATTTACTGTTTCAACTGGAGATATTTTTTGTTTTTTTGGGGGGTAAAAATGTCTTTGTTCTCTTTTTTGCCTGTGCACGATTCCTTTCGAGACACACTGTTCTTTCAGGACAAAATGACAACACAATCGTAGGTGGTTGGGATGTAAATCCCCCGTTTGCTCACTTTCGAGGGTTTATCGCTGATTCTTCAACCGTGAAAGATGTGATGTGTCAGTGTTTCAACAAGCGCAAAACAACAAACGCGGAGAGCAGCCGGGCCGACAGCAGCAGGAGAACCGGGTCTATTAAATGATCTGACATCTGAGCATTGTGCACTGCAACTCACACAGACAGCTGAGTCACTCAACGCTTTGAGTTTAAACTGTCGCCAGATTCTGATTTCCATTCTAATCACGCTCAACTTACACAAGTTATGCATTTATAAATCAATCTCTTGAGCGCAGGGCTATTAATGAGTCCTGTTTTTGTGGATTCAGCAAGCACGCTCAGCAAGTCAATTCCTTTTCATTCCTTCTATCGAACAAAGGGATCCAGATTAGAAAACAGAGCACACTTTTGTAATCCTGCTTCTCAATATTCACATCTATTGATGCAAAACAACAGCGGCTAACACATATTCCACACATCACAATGCTTTTCCAGACAGCTTAACTGGATGATTCCCTACTACAAACAGTTTTGGCTCATTTGCGAGCAGGTGCTTCCCCTGCCTGCACACACAAACCAGAAATAGCTCATTAGAAATGCAGCAATCATCCAGCTGGCGACACACACAGTCCATTCTTACCTGCGCGCTCTACTGATTTGTGACACTGGAAATTGGTGCTTCTGCTCATGTCTTATTGACACAGACAGTGCATGGAATTCAAAGTGTGATATCTGTCCTTGTCTTTCAGTTTGCCCCCGTCTCCCTCTCTCACCTACACACACACGTTTCTCTATCCTGTCCTCGAGTGACCGTTTCACTGTCAGTTTGGACCATAATTCCAGATTTTCACAGGCTGCTGCGTCCGGCAAACGTTTGCCCTTCCTGATCTGCACTGCAGTGCCCTGCAACAGCCAGTGTGGCACACGAACATGATAATAACAACCAGAGTGTATCATAGATTAGGTCCAAGCACTTAAAAGACACATTTTAACACAAGTCACATAAACACTTGAGCTAAAACTCAGTCTGGAAATTTTCTTTCATATTTTACACAATGGTAGGGGTATCTGCACCCAGAAACATAAAAGACACATGCGCGCGCACCCACACACACACACCCGCACATACACCCACCCACGCACCTCAGCACCATCTGTGCTATATAAATTATCCGATAAAAAGTCTACCTGTAGGGAATGGAGTGCAAGGCGGAGCAGTGTTCCTGCCACAGCCAAGTGAGGACACACTGCACATAACAGCAGCTGGGCTTCACCTCTGCATGCACACACACACACAAACACACACGCATACACATGTAAAAGCCAGCCAATGTTAATAGCTGCTGTGAATAGAGGAAGCGTGACAAACAGAGGCAGGTTTGGTGTACCAGATGGATGCAGCTGGGGTACGGGTGTGTGTCTGTGTGTGTGTGTGTGTCTATGTGTGTGCATGTGAGAGAGAGACTGAGAGCAAGAGGAAAGGAGGAGCTGAACTTTAAGGCAACAAGCAGAGAAGAACACAGGTGTTTGTGAAGAGTGGTTGCTGGGGTTAAGAGAGCAATACAAGAACAGAGTAAGGTGAATGAGGAAGGAGAAAGCCTGAGGTGTTACGTCAGAAAGAAACAGGTGAGAAAAGCAATAAGATATAGACATGGTTAAATACAGGCAACGTGCAAATATTAAGGCTACGTCCACACTAGTGTGTTTTCGTTTGCAAACGCATCGTTTTCTCTCCGTTTTGGCCTCCCGTCCACACTGAGACGGTGTTTTCGCTCAAGGAAAACGCAGCATTTTGAAAACGCTCTCGAAAGCGCATACATTTGAAAACGGTGCTTTCGCGTCGCAGTGTGGACAGCGAAAACGCAGACTTTTTGAAAACGATGACACATTTTAGTCATGTGATGCAGTCAAGTGACCAATTAAACTAAGATAGCAGAGCGCGTTATACAGCAGTTGTCTTGTTTGCTCTCAATTTTAACAGCCTTATTAAAGATTAATATCAGTCTGTACATGCTTCAGGTAGCTTTTCTTCAAATTCTTTAACTCTCACTCGCTTTTGCAACTTTGTACTTTTGTGTTACTCGCAGCAACAACTCCACCTCATTGTTAGTCCATTTAAAAAACTGCTTTTCCTCGACATTTTGCCGCAACGTTTCAAAGGGCCGGAAAGTAAATAAAGGGCAGACAGGAATGAGGCAGGCCGAATCTTCTTGCGTTTCACGCCTGCGCAGTACTGGAATGTAAGCCGTTTCAATGTGGACGCACAACTCTGTGAAAACAACTGAAACAATAATGTGGATGCGGAGCGTTTTCAGACCGGGCTAGTGTGGACGTAGCCTAAGAAACGGAAACTCAAAATGACAGCACGAAATGAAAAAGAAACTAGATATAAAAGATGGCTCTTAAACCACCCTACATAAAAACTCCAGACAGGTGTTAAGTATGCGGTGCTTTTACACAGGAAAAGTGAGAGTGGAAAGTAGTTCGGAAAACTCCAGTATTTTGTTAACAAGCATTGATTCAGGTTTATTATGAAGGTGCATATTTAACATACTCAATCAACATGCAGCATGAAATAACAGATAAGTATGGTTGAGCAAATGGCGCTGACACAGAGTGGAAGAGTTTCAGTATGCAAACAGAAAAGAAACTGAGGACTCTCTCACTATGTGCGCTGGTTGCCTAAGTTAATGCCTGTGTATAATATTTAGAGTTCATTACACTTCTGATGCCTCTAAGGGCAAAAGATATGATAACCAAAACAATGTAT